TTGTTTTACAGGGTTTATACAGGAATGAGATAGATTGCGATATATCTGACGTAATTGTTTTTAAAAACCTTTTTTTACATTTTAAATAAAGCATTTTTGATCACATAATAATTTAATGAGTTTTAATGATTTTTTTAAATGACCCGTGAAAACCCTGTTTTATTTAAAAATTGTCGTTTTTTGTTTTATATTAGGAACTGAAAGAACAATATTATATCCGGCAGCCGAAAATCACAATATATTGCTAAATAGATTTTTTTTTTTATCCCTACTCCCCTACTCAGCAGGCTCCGATGTCGTACTTAACAAATTTTCAATTTTTTAAATTATATTTCTTTATTTAAAAAGTCAATGTATAACATGGATGCATAAAAACCTCATTTTATTTCAGTGTTAAATTCTGTTTAAAGTAACAGATAATATTTGAAAATATCTCCAGAACTTTTAATGGTTCTTGATTTTCTTTATTCGGACCCTGCTGGTTTTTACTCGGTTCCTCCTGCTCTAGCGGCCAGCCTCTGCTAGTCGTAGCCTCTCCCTGGTCATTCTCTAAACTACAGCTGTCAGCAGTAGCCTCTCCCCCACCCTCAGCTTCCTTTTCCCAGACTTACCCGATCTTTCACCATGCTCCTTCAATCCTCCACAGCTAGCCTCGTTCAGCTCTTGATCTAGGCTCTTGATCTCCCTGCTCTGTCACGCTGTTCCCACAATGGGCTCCTCCGATCTACCGCTGTGGTTCCTTAGCTCCAGAGAGAGCTGAATGCTCAAGACCTTTTGTATTGGGCTTGAAATAATGAGGTGTAGATCTGAGGAATGCAGTTTGAAAAGATCGCAAATTGTAAAATCTAAAAACAAAAACATACTAAAAAGTCTGTGTGAAAAAAATAAAATATTAGTGGAACATGATTCACTCCATAGCTGTGGGTTATTAGTGTTGTTTTGTTAATGCAGGTCAGATTGTCGGCGAACATTTAACGAACATTAAAATGATGAACCTCTGAAGTGATTGAAGCCAAAGACTTAAAAAAGTAGAATGGTTAAATAGAGACAGAAGTGGTTTTATGAAATAAAAACTGAAATGTTAGAACTTTAAATATGCAGTCATATGTTTATATTCCCGTTTTTATGTATTTTTTTTTTACTGTTTTCAAGGCTGCACCTTAAAAAAATGAAATTGTCCACAGAGGTTTTCTTAACAAAATGTCTCTTTGTTTACACTTTTAAGTACAAAATGACAAAATAAGTCTAAGTCTTTGTGTTCTCTCACAGATGCAGAAGGTGGTGAACTCATCCAACGAGCATGTCATCAGCATCGGAGCGAGCTTCAGCCAGGAGGCTGACTCTCACCTCGTCTGTTTCCAGAACGAGGAGGGAAACTATCAAACTCAAGCCAACAGCAAGCCGGGGGAAACTCGCACAGGTCAGTGCGCCGCTGGAAAGCCGTCGGCACCGCACTGGGCTGTATATCATGTTTTTACGTTTTTGTTTCAACAGTGACTGGGGCCAGTTTCGTGGTGTTTAACGGAGCGCTAAAAGCCTCGTCAGGTTTTATCGCCAAGTCCAGCATCGTTGAAGGTAAGCTGCTCTGGCTCTATGGAGTAAAATTTGTTCCATCATCGTTGCATGCAAAGAAAATGTTTTTTTTAATGGAAAAAAAAGAAAAAATACAGAAATTAAACTTCTCATTTTAAAGAAAGGTTTTCACTTATTAACTTTTGTTTTGTTCGATATCATTGTTTCCAAATGATTTTTTTCATATTTTGTTTTTTATTTCATTTTTTTATTTATTAGTAGTAAGGAAAGTCATATTTAAATGTCAAATCATTCTGGCTTAAACATGTAAATAAATGTACTCTTTATCAGAGGATATTGTCCCAAAATTTAGAAAATTTCTATTTCAAAAAAAAAATCCCATCTTAAAATGTGTGGTGTTGTTTTTCCGTTATCGTATGCAGGCCAGTTAGTTATATGTCAGCCTGAACGCCTAAATTCGGCCAATCAAATATCAACGGTCATCTGTCAATCAAATTTTTCCGGTCATCTTGAGTCATATGTCGCAGCTAATATACGCAACGGTTGCAGTAAGAAATAAGAATAATTTCCTTTCCCATTGAGTTCCGTCCCAGTGTTCACGGGGATGGACGTCTGTGTCCTCAGCAGGCGTAGAGCTAACAGAACTGGCAGCGTTGCGAGGCAAGGGCTCAAACATGTACGGCTGGAAGCCTTCTACACCAAACCAAGCTTCTGCCGCCCTGGCGTCCTCTTCCACAACATCTTCATCCCCGCTTTCCTCCTCTAAATAAAAAATGGATGACAGAGGAGACTCATCCACAACCTCCGACACTAAACTCTCCTCCTCTTGCATGTTTCCTCTGTCCATAGCGTTCCTTGACAGTGTCGTTTCTAAGTCACCAATTTAGTGCTACTTGGTCCCAATGGAATTTCCCATTGGGAACCTACTAGCACTAAGTTGCTAACTGGTTAGCAAGATGCTTCCGACAAACCGGCCACAACCAAACTCGCTTGTGATCCTTCAGCCACAACAATCCCCTCCTCTTGATAATCGACCAATCACAGAGAATTTGGAAATGCAACCGTTGGAACAGCTGCTTCACTAAAACTTTAATATAATATATTCTCTTTGTCAGATTGAGTTTTATAATTCTCATAGATTTAAATTGCATTTTCATCACATTCTCTTCACATCAAGCCAAATCCAAACGCTCCCTCACAGTAGGAATGTTGCTGCCATCATCCATGCAGACCAAAACACAGTTTTTAAAGAATTATCTTGTTTCACTGGGAAACCTAAATGTATTTCTGCATTCTTCTCTGTGATGTTGTTCACTTCCGATGCCGTTCTGAGCTGCCTGAAAAAAATGCCTCAGTTTTACACCCTCAGTTTTTCAGGACCTGCTTAAAGTGTCTATAAACAATAATCTTTGCATGATTAGGGCTTTATCATCCCACCACACAAAAATTTACAAGATTGTAAACTTTGATTTTAATGAATCGCAAACATAAGAACAACCTAGCAACTCGGCTGTGAGCGCATCATGCGAAGGAAAAACAAAACAAAAAAAAATATGTAGAGCTTTTCAGCATTGTGTTGGTTGAAACACTGAATTAACTATGAATACTACATTTACATGTTATTATAGCTAAATACAGAATGCAAAATAGAAACTTAGCTGGTATAGTGGCGAAACTGGTCATCCAGGGTTCCTGCGGATCCTTAAAAAGTCTTAAAAGGTATTGAATACTTTATTATAAAAATAGCGCCTTAGTTGGTATTTAAGTGTATTAAATCAGTCTTTCATAGGTCTTTAAATTGTCACCAGGTCATAAATAGGATTTTATTTTTGTAATTTATATCAAAAAGTAAAATAATTCACAATTAATTTTTGACATCTACTGAACGGCTTAGCTTAAAGCATTATTAGTTCCATCCTGAGAGCAGAACCAATAAAAACGATGCTACAAACAGACCTTGGGGTGATGCACCAATAACTTTTTATCTGAACGTGGGGAAGTGTAAATTCAATGAAAATTGTCTGTCCTGTTAAGTTTTTATTGGATGGCTTAAATCAGTACCAGGTAACGTATGTGAGGCAGTGTTATGGTCAAGATCACCTAACCCGAGACCAAGACAAGAGTGTATCGAGACCGAGACAAGACCAAGACTTTTAGGGTCAAAGACCGAGTCAAGACCAAGACCAGCGCCAGTATGTGACAATAAAATGTGAAACATGATCAAAATCACTAAAACTGATCTAAAAGACCCACATTCACATAAAAACACCTAGATATTTAACACAGAGAACTGGAATAAACATAAACATCTTTTAAGTAATAAGTTGGACATAGTCCCTACCGTCTCTGATAGTAAAGCACTACAGAACTTACATTGCGCTGTATGCTTTTTTCTTAATGTTGCTTTACAAATATATTTTTTGTGATTTAAATAGCCGAATTTCATAACCGATGATTTGGCCGACATCTTATCCCGTTCTCAGACAACCACTTGTGACTTTCCATCGAAGTGCTGCAGCCCGCGGGCAGGTGAAAGGGGGTGGGTGTGACAGCGGTAAAAACAAAAAAACAAACAAAAAAGAACATGCATTTACCAATGAGACAGGTTATTATTGGATTTGAATCCAATCATCCAATAAAAGAAGAATCTTAAAGAAACTGATAATATTCTGATAATTAGCGTTATTTCCACAGTTTTGGTCTTGACTGGTCTTGAAATAAAATGCCGAGTCCTCAGCGCCGAGACCGAGACCGAATGCGGTCAAGTCCGAGACGAGACCAAGACCATCAAAAAATGGTCTTGAGACCAAGACCGATCTCGAGTACTACAACACTGATGTGAGAGGAATGGCGTATTTTAAGCAAGAAGTCATTCAAGCTCGGCACGATGGGAATCAAAGCAGGGGAGTCAGACATGTGAAGAGTGGAAAAACAGTTTTCATTTACAAAACATGTTCTGTGTTTGGAACAGTAATGAAACAAAAGTCACTCCATATGCCTCTATGTCTGGTTATTTTTCTTTTCAGATGGGTTGATGGTTCAAATCCCACCGGAAACCATGGAGTCTTTGCGCTCCGCCCTGAGGGAGCAGACAGACTTCGACATACCCTGCGGCAAGAATGACGGCGGGGAAGTCAAAGAGAACGTCACGGTTCGCTGGGTTGACTGGTCCTCGCCTGTTAACTCGGGGTATTGGAACATTTACTCTGCAGCTTTACACTGAAACAAATATTGCAACCGTTTTTGGCATTTACTTAATCATATTTAGTTACTTTAAGACAATTGTTTCATGTTAGCAGGGTAGGACATAAAAAATTGTGTTAAAATAACTAAATATGATTGAGTAAATGTCAAAAGGGGTTGCATTTTTTACAAGTGTACTATTATCCAGCTAATGATACGAGATAAAAGGAATAATGAACTAAATGATCCTCCAGCAGGGCTAACCTCCACAGACTTGGTTTGATTCTAAGGCCCGTTCCCACTGCAGACACCATTTGGGCTGTTTGAATCAAGTGGGAGCGCTCAGATCTGTCCCCTGTTTATATTCACAACAAAGGATGGCCCACACAGCACGTGTTCAGCGAGTAAACAAGGGAGTAGCCTACTGCGGCTAAGCCAGTTAGCATTTATTCAGTGAAGTGTCACTACCCACTCCGTCCTAGAAGCCCAATCCATACCAACGGCTCATTTGCACACGTGCAAGCAGATATTCATCCAGGTTCCCATAAATTATTTAAATAATTGCACTAAAAGTGCTTATTTCTGTTGTTAAATCAATAAAGAATGCTAATACGCATCTTTAAAACATCTTTTCTGAGACAAATTGATCCTTTTTACATTTTCTCCATTATAACAGCTTCTCTGACATCATCATGGGACATGATCAGAGCAGTCAGGTGTTCTGTCAGATCAAGCAACTTTTTGAAAACTTTAGTTTTGTACGAAAAATAGACTTTAAACTACCTTAACAGGCGTGTTTCCTACGACGGAGTATTAGGGCCAGGCTAGAGTTTTTTTTCTTATTTAATTTTGAGAATAAAGTCATGATATTATGAAAATAAAGTTGAAAGCTTTAACCACCATATGACAGCCGGCCAGCTCCACCAATCAGCAACCTGAGTCCACTTTGACATTCTTCCCAATTTGATGCTGCTGCTAAAAGATTTCCTTATTTCCTTATTAAACCAGAACCAAAGTATAACTTCACATTATGCTCAACATTCCTCATTTTAGGGAAGAAAGTACTTCTTGTACTTTCCCATTTCCAGCACAGACGAGTGATAAAACAGAAAGAATTTTAAGGCATTTATTTTCTCAGGAAATACATTATTAACCTTTAACACATTATAGTTTAGTACAGTTTCTATTTTTGCTGAAGATTTTTAATCATCCAGTTCATAGTTATTCCGTAAAAGTTTAAAAAACAATCCACTGGACTTGGTTTCCAAGATTTGAAGACATTTCGCTTCCCCTCCAGGAAGATTTCTCAATTCAACCCCCCCCTTTAACGACAATCACCCCCTTTAATGACCGACCTTCAGAATTATTGACAGGTTTCAGATATTACAGGCTAACAATGGAACTAAACGACCCATTCATCGGTCTCAATTTGCATGTTTCCAAGCAATACAAGGTCTTGTCTCTATAAAGATTCAAACTCACTGCAGATCCAGACATTTGAATTGAGAAAGCTTCCTGGAGGGGAAGAGAAACGTCTTTAAATCTGGGAAACCAAGTCCAGTGGATTTTTTTTTTTTACTTTTACGTAGTTTCTATTTTTGGGGAGAGAAAAAGGGTAACTTGGGTATTTATTACAAATTAAAACCGAGGACGACCCGGATGTTTATCTGGTTGTCTAAATGAACTGATGGTATGGATCGTGCTTCCGTGACGGATCAGGTAGTGACACGAAGTGTGGAAATAATGAAGAAAAAATATGGTTAGAAAAATGACAAAAAATATTTGATTCCAAGAAGGATCAGACTGGAACAGCACTGGGAATACCGTAGCTACATATGGATACAAATAATCAGATTAAAATGATTTCATGTAAACATGTCAGACTGAAGATTCCTATTTCATTCTGAAAGAAAAAGAATCAACCTTTACCTTGCAGGAGCCGCTGCACCTGCAAAACACACTGACAAAGGAGGAAGTATGGGATGCTCTGAAGACGTTTATAGGTGGCTTAAGAAAAATCTATATTTATTTTGCCTAGAGGGAGTGTTGGTCTTCCTTCCTTAGCTCCAGTCCAGCCGCCGCCGTCTCTCTGGCTCTGGCTCTGGCTCTCTCCCCCGGCGGACTTCTCCGATATCTTCCTTAGCCGGCCGTTGGTTCTGATTTCCCTGCTGCTCCTTTGTGAGCTCGAGACTGTTCTCCAGTCTCTCCTTACCTTCAGTTATTTCTTTATACTAAACCTGAGAAACAACACAAACCCCTACTGACCAGAATGTCCCAGCATATTCATTGGATGTAGAGGTGTTAATGATAATCGTTTTGTATCGATGCATCGATCCAACAGCCGACGATCCGATGTATCGATACGTCCGCAAGAGAATCGATTCATGTTTGTTTTTTTCATCCAGTCTATTTTTATCCATTTGCTCCTGGACGTTATTCTCCCTCCCGTGCTGCGGTGGCGCTAAACCTATTTTGCCCTCCTACCTCGCTTCCTGGTTATACTCCTGCAGTAGTGCGCGCAGTGAGCTTGACATAGACATTTTTAAATTATGCTCAATATTGTAGCGTGGTCTGTGCTACACGCTGTGGGTCTAGATATGGCCGAGGCGGAGAGGAAGTGGGGGCAAGTTTAGTCCGACGACGGAGGGACATAAGGGCCAAAAAGAGCGGAGATCCAGCTGGAAAAAGGGTCCCAGCTTTCTCACGCACCTTGCTCTTCTAGCGGGACAAACTTCATGAGTTGTTTTCCGCAATTTCGGTCATAAAAACAAAACAAGCCGGCCTCCTGTCTGCGGTCAGCTACAATTTGGGAGAGGAGCAGCGGAGCGTCTGTGGAGGGGGCGGGACGTCTGGAGCCGAGGTATTGAATTGCACTCATTGCACTGATTATGTGCAGTATTTTTTGATGCAAGGCCTTTCAGAATCTATAACACAGGGGTATTATTATTTTTCAGTGAATGAGGCTTTAATAGGAATAGGTGGAGTGCAACTTTTCTACTTCTGGTATTTGCTGTTGTTTCTCAAAAAAAATGTGTAACGATATTACAGCTTTCATTGATTTATAAAAAAAAAAAGAACAAATTAATCGAATCGTATCGTGGTGTATTCTTGAGTATCGAAAATAATCGAATCGCTGGGTCAGGAAATCGATACTGAATTGAATCGCCATGATGGATGTGATTTACACACCTAATATGATGCTGCAACATATTCAGAGGTACTGCATGGGGGTCGCAAATTTTTTTTTATATTCCCCCCTGCATTCCACTAATTGAAAGTTCTCTAAATACACTTTAACATCAACTCAACCCACTGTAGTAAACAGATAAATGGAGGCAGAAGATGTCTTTCAGTCATCAAAGCTCACTGCAGTGACACACAGGAGCTCTTTCAAGCTGGGCACCGTTTCATTCACAACACCTGTTCCATCAACCAGGAATCAGAAATACTTAAATAATCCCAGGGAGAAATTACTTTCGTTACATTACTCCATCTGTAAGAGTGACTATAGGACCAGTTTGATGTAACACAATTATAAAATAACAATTTCATATAATATATATAATTAGGGGGTCCCCGCTCCATCTCGCCATCATTTAGGGGTCCTTGGTCTGGAAAACGTTGAAGACCCCTGGTTAAAGGGGCTTTTTAAATTTTCAATAAGCAAGTTTTACTCAAAGC